TAAAACAAAACACCAAATAAATAAAACAATACAAAATAAACCCTGCAGAATAAGAGCGGCAGCCCCCTTTCCTGCTGCTTCGTTCCGCCCGCAAGCGAGGGCGACACGCCAGCGCAGCCGTAGCCTCAGACTGCTCGGTCAGTGCGTGCAGCCCAAACAAGACGGAACAGGCGCATGCGCCCAGGACGGCAAACCAACAAAAAGAGAGGCGCCAACGGCGTTTGCTCGAGGCTCTCAGCGGTGCATGCAGCACCCGCCATTGGAGCCGCACGCCAACCAAAAACGATGGCACCCAAAAAAACAAAAGGGAAAAACACCACGCCAAGGCACAAAAACAATTTCAGAAATTCGGTTTGCCCCCTGACCTCTGGGCTGTGGTGGCCGCCGCATTTGCTTTCCCGCCTGTGAGCCCACTCAGCATGCAAAACTTACCCTCTCGCCCAAACTCTCTGCAGCAACAAACTGGGAACAGCAAGGAGATACCACCAATAGAATACTGCCGGCGTACACCCACAAGGCGCCATCATTCCCCACGCAATTTTACTCGCAAAAAAAAAGGTGCTGCTGTGGTAGCGCTGGCCATAATAATCATTTGGCGCACGGCAGAGCGAGTCCCTAATTACGCCTCCTACCCACACACAAACACACTCTGGAATATATCATACTCCCTAAAATATTTCGCCAGTAAACTCAAGCTGCTTGTTCCCCTCCTCCTTTTCCTTGTCCCTCTGGTTGCCGCCCACGTTGGGTTTGTCGTTCACTTCCGAAATTTTCAGCTGATACCGCTACCTCGCACTGACGCACCTGCTGATTCCAAAATGCCGCAATGGCCTGAGGGTCCTCAGGCTCATTGCTGCCCGTTACATTTGCGTGCGCGACGACAACACATTTCTGCCACGCGTTTATTGCTGTACTGTCCTCATGCTGCACGTAAATAATCTCCCACGACAAGCCTTCCGCAAAAGTTTCCCAGTCATTAAAATAACTCCATGGAAGATTGTTGAACCGCCTCACCGTGCTGGCTTTGGTGCCATGCTCAGCCCTCGTCGTCACACCTGCACCGCAACCATCGTCCTCCGCGGTGCACCAACAAAGAAAAAACCGTCCACAAACGGAAAATGTCTGCTCTCCGGTACGTATAGCACCTTGTATTGTACATCCAACCTCGGAGGAGTGTGTTCCAGAGTTATTAATGCAACGGGTCTGCTTGGATGCTTTTCGGGGTTCGATTGCAGCACACATCTCTGTTGCTGACGACTTCCTGGTGGAGGCAACTCGTTGAGGCCCGGCATTATATTTTACGTAAAGGCTCTACGCAGGAATGCGAGCAGAGTGTACCGCCCCGAAGCGTCTGCCAATAATTCTTTTCTGCACTTCAATATTCGAAAAATAATGTCATTCTCCTCATCCACCTCGAGCAACCTTCCAATTAATTTGTTTCCAATGGAAAAACAGACCGGCAGGTCCACAAACTCCTCAACATCTTTTTGTGTTATTAATCTGACAACTTTCACAAGTTTGTGAGAAGCGTCATTCGAGGGCCACATTTCCCTACCTCCAACCATCCCATAATGTACAGCATTTGAAGCGTCGATACCTGCCAGGATGTCCTTGATTTCCTCCACACGGTCCTTATTGAATTGAAAGATGCATCGTGGAATCGGTCCGACGTCATCCATGCGCATGTGCATCCTTCTCCAGTACTCCACCTGCTCCTCCTCAGTCGTATTGCGCGTCCTCCACGCACACATCGCCTTCACGTTGTTTTCATCGGGGGAATTCATGATGATTTTGATAGCACCCGCGTGCTCCGCACATTGTTTGAAGTTATCTTCGTGCGGGGATGACAAGATAATGGCGCCCCACTCAGGGGAGGGCACAACATCATTCCATGGCTCTTGAAAATGTCTTGCCATATCGATAATATACCCTTTCATTCCTGTCCTAGCCAAATTTATCATAACCCTTCCAATATTACTCTCACCCTTGTATTCCGTCACCGTTCGTGCCCTCTTGTCAGACAAGTATGCGAAATCCCTTCCAAAGCAGTACATAACCACATGGAGCGTCGTGGCGTCGTAGTGCAGCAGCTGATAAAGGAGGTAGGAGCCAGCCGCCATTGACTTCCCTATCCCGGGGGTTCCAATCAAAAGACGACGTCCCATTTTAGGTGCGTTTAGACGTGAGGGGGGAAACACTCCTTTTAGATCACCCTCGACAATCTTCCACACCCGATGCACCTCAATGTTAATGTAGCAGTCGGTAATACGTACTGAATGGTTCAACGAGTACGGTCATAGCTTCTCAGAGGAAAGGATCATGAGTCGTGGGCGTGGTGGACGGAATTGCTCATCACCACCCACTGGGAGAAAAGTACACACAGTCTGCGTGTACTCCCATAACTCTTGTGGCCGTTGACCCTCTCTCACCTCCATGTATTCCCCTTCGCCCTCGGGAAACCCCATGACGTGACTCCACGTTGCGTTAAACACGGACTCGTAGAATGCCTCCGGTAATGGTTGTCTGGGAGGTTTTTCGTTTTCCCACCTTTCTTTCTCTGCATCCTCCGCCTGCTGAAGAGCTGCATCGAGTCTGCCTTTTGTACGAAGGGGAACCGTATTTTTCTGTCCAAATTCCTTCCATTGATTGAGAGAAAACACACCTTGCTCTGCAAGCATGCGTGCATCTTCAAAAAGCTGATACCCTGGTGGAATTGAGAATTTCTCGAAGAAGCCTCTGGTCTGTAACGTATTCTGCGGGCTGCTGCACAAACACCTCCATCACCACATTTTGGCTTTCACCCACCGCTCTGTCGGGGCCAATGTACTGCCGAAGGAAGTCGTTCAGCAAAATTCCGTTGCTTTGACCAACCCGTACATTAAGGGCATCCTCGATAGAGCTCGATAGCGTCCACCTTGGCTGCTGCGGCGCTCCCTCCACCCTTCGACTCTGTGCGGGGGCTCCTCGGTGGCGTGAGATTCTTCCTCGCGTCTCTCAGACATGTTTTCCTTCGTAGTGGTTAACTTGAGTTGAACTGCAGCACAATACTCAACCAGCAGTCAAAAGGGAGAATAAAATTATTTTAAAAAAAACAGGCAGAGACACGACCCCACGCAGCCGCAACGAAAAAAAAGAGAGGGCCACCCACACACGGCACGCGGCGCACACCCACACAAACAACGAGAGCAAATTAGATCTCCCTAGACAAACCGTGCAAATTGCGCGGCACACACAACAACTGCGACGAGGTGTCTCTCTTCTTCTCGTATTGCACTCGCCACTCGGATCCCCACAACTCCGTGTGTGCGTAGCCACACGTAAATATCACCCACTCACAGTGAAATTGACTGCCTCGTCGCGGTGGCATTTTGTGTCGCAATTCGCTGAGGTGCAAAGAGGCAGAACACCCGCCGCCTGTTCCTTCACCCGCGAAAAGGAGAATGGACGCCACCGCATTGTCCCCCGCGACGCAAATATACGCTGCGCCCAGCACGTGGTGCGGTGCACGTGAATTCCGAGAGGGAACTGTTTGCCACGCGACTGGGCCGCACAGGGTGCAGCCCGCGAAGGCAGCCGCAGACGTCTCCGCCTCCTTCAGTCGTTGCGGTGGTGGAACCCGCACAGATTGTCAGACGCCGGCACATTTGCCCCCGACGCAACCAACAAAAAGAGCGCGGCAGCATATTCCCCGCTGCAAGAACAGAAGTGGCAGCCCCACTCTGCGGCCACCGCACCACCACCCAGTGAGCCCCACACAATCTTCTGCATTTCTTTTTTAGGCCGCACGCCCCCCCAAGGCTCTGCCACGGCAACGCATGAAAGTGGTGGCAAAAAACACCCCGCCACTGACGCCACCAAGCCACACAACCCAAAAGAAAGGCCCAAAGACGGGGACAGGACAAAGTCACCGCGCGGACGCACCCACAGCGGCAGCAAAAACTCAGACAAGACAAGCCGCCCACCCCGCGCCGCGCCGTTGCAGTTGGCGGCGAAGCGCTTCAAGACAACACTCCCACACGCAGCACCCTACAGTCGCAAGAAAAGGGGGTGAGTCACAGCGCACACCATTCCTTTGTCGTTGTCTCGATATCTTCATAGCCACAGAAGCCATCAGCAGCCACAGACGGCACTGCCAGCACCAACTAAAAAAGCATCCTCCACGTACACTGCAGTAAATATATGTCGCGTACGTGCGTGCCTGCAGATACAAAAATTAAAAAAAAAAGGAAAGAGGATCAAAGCGTGTGAGGATGCACATACAGACACACAGAAGAGATGCAGGACGCAAAGCTAGAAAAAAAAGACATCTAAGACTTGAAGTGGCACCGCAGCCCACGCAGTGCCAACACACATGAGATATGATTCAGCAAAACAAAAAAAGATTACTCTTAAAATAGTTTTCACAAAAAAAAAGCCGTTCAAGACCCTCGTAAAATCCCCATAATTGCATTGAAATGCTGGACGCATATATATAAAAAAAAATGATATATTCGTTTCAACCACTGAAGGCCCCAGTGTCCAGACACCGTTTAACTTCCACTGGGACCCGCGGTGCGTTGCTGTGATTCTCACTCCTTCGTTCCTTCTTTCCTTCTCCCACCGGCGGACACACAATGACGAGAGCGTCCGCAGGCACCCCAGAGAAGCGGTTAGTTGTTTTTATTCGTCTTTTTTCGAACGAATTCGATGACCTGCGCGTGAGCCACCACCGTGGCACACGTCCGCCCACTTCAAAAACCAAGACGTAAAAAAGAGAGCCCTGGTCCCTCCTGCGGCAACAGCAGTGCGGGGGCGCAGTGAAACATCTCACCCTGCCAGGCAAACACGCAGGTTCAACGCCGTCGTCAAGAAGAAACCGACAAAACAACAACCAGCAAACCAATAAAAACAGCACAGTCAAAAAACAATAAACCAACAAAACACTGAACAAAAACACAGAGAAAAAAAAAGGTGATTCGTCTCCTGCCATTGCTAGAGGCGAACAATATAACAAACAGAAATGGACGGAATAAAAAACATGAGGACCCCGCTGTGCTGGCGCGAAAGTAGAGCACAATTAGCGGAACCAAAAAAAAAACAAAAAAAAATTGTCCCGCATTACAAAAAAAAAGCGGAAAATAAAACAAAATACGTGTCTAAGTGAGACTTTATTTAGTGTAAAAAGTGAGTGGAGAAAGGGAGGTGCTCTCAGTAGAAGGATAAACTCCCCTCGACCGGGGTTCATTCAGCATAGGACCGCAAAACCACATAGTCCCAATAGCAGCAGAAGCAGCCGAGACACATCCGCACGCGTGGATGTGTCACCTGCAAGTTGTTCGGATGCATCGGAGTTGTCACCTGCACGCTCCTCAGATGTACTGGAGTCGTCAACCTTCTTCAGTTCCTGCTCACTCAGTGGGTAGTTGTACAAAAAAACATTCCTCACTCTCGCACTGCCGTCTTTGCCGTCTTTGCCGCCACCAAAGTAAAAGTGAGTGATATCATGCCTCCGTGACTTAAGGATTGGTAGTGTGTCAGAACTCCCCACAAGCACGCCGTCCACGTACACGGAGCCCTCGTTGCCCTGCAGCATGAGCGCCACTTTGTACTCCTTCCCCGGCTCCCAAGTGCTGTTGCGTATTGTTTTCGTGATACCGTCGAAGACCGTTACCCACCGCTTATCTGTGGTGTACGACAGCGCCACAAACTTCCTGTTTCCCTTGTCCTCCAGGCCCGCGCCCAGCAGAGGAACGCCCTCGTTCGGAATCTCATCGATCGTCACCGTCGCCACAAGCGTAAACGCGTAATTCACAAAGCTGTGCACATAGTGATGCGTCCGCATGTTCACAGGCCACATGGCGTATGATTCGGACCCCGTGAAATTAAAGCCATCTTCGACCTTCTTTGCATTCCTCACAGTTGCATTCACGCAACGGTACGCGTCGTTCCAATTCCCATCACACGATGCATCCGACAAGAATCCAACCAGACCGGCCGTGGGCACAGACGAGTTGGAGAGGAAGGAGTCCAGTTTTGCCCAAGTCTCCAAGACGGACGTAATCGTCTTCAGCTCCTTCGTTAGGGGAGCAAGAAACAGACCTGTGGTCGTTGTACTGACCCTCTCTTGTAAAAGATGCAACGCATCTTTCGAGTGCAGCAGGGTGTTGGCAGACGTCCACTTCTCTGCAGTGTCCACGGAAATGGGCCCGACGTGAAACGTGCGGTTGTTGTCAGCCACCCAAAGGTACAGCGCCTTTGCCACCCTCTCCCCAGGGGGAACCTCTTCCTGAGTGTACAGCATGACCTTCTTTCCAGCAATGGTCGCAGTGGTGAAGGATGTGACACTCCAATCCAGTTGCAAGAAGTCTGATGAAAACCTGGGCTGCACGCCCGTAAGTGTCCAGCCAGCCTCCGTCCACGTTTCCCCCATGTCCCTCGATTCAAACACATTGGGGCCAAACTTGCATTGGGCAACCATGAGAAGCTGCCCCTGCTCCCACTCGACGATGAGGGGGGCAATGCACCCCGCGGGGAGCATCCCCTGTGGAAGCAACCAATTTTTGCCGTCGTCCTTCGAATAAATGATCATGGAGACAGTGTCGGCTAATGCATCCCTCGCCGTCACAGGAAACACAAGCGTGCCATCCTCCATCACAACGCCTGAGCCACCACCACCTGCAAACCGATCCAGGCCACGTTGTTCAGCAGATGGTTCGATCTGTGATAAAAGTGAGGTGGGTTTGCCCCATTGGATGAGTTTATCTTGTGTGGCCTCACCCACGAGCAAATCAAGACCCTGTAAAAGCACAATCCAACTCTTCGATGAAGGATCATATTTCAAATAATGGCCTCCCACAAGTAGAAACACTTTGCTGCCCTTTGCAACCGTTGTGGGTTTTAACACGCACCTCACATGCGGCTTATGCTCAACTTGAACAGACATGGGAAAAATATTGTGTGATTTCCATCTGTTTGCATTGACCTCATCAACAAAAGACGACCAGCTCTCCGTAGAGTCAATGTACCCCGCTACAACATCAGCATAATCCACCGAAATACGATCCCCCGTGGAGTATTTAAAGCTTCTGTGACCCCTGGCAAGCGCAACCAAAACTCCGCCAGCACTGACGAGGGAAGGGAAAGCAAAGGAATCCCTCATTTGGCTTTCACCTTGTGTTTCCACAATCGTTCGATTAGGCACAAAAATATCGATAACATTTGGTATTTGCACCTCCTTTGGTGTATTTCCCTCCTCAGCGTGCACAGCCGTATTGCCAAAGCATATCAACAGCACAAAAAGAAGCCGCACCGCCAAAAAAAATGGGTACCGGGACATCTTGGGCATGTGTTGCTGCTCTCTCTCCCTCTCACCGTCTCTCTTCCCACCCTGCCGTAAATCCGCTCAGGTCGCAACCGCTCTGTGTGAATGTGTGTGTGTGGCGATGGTGTTGACTGTAGAGCTTTTCAATGCGCACGGCAGCGAGTGGCGTTTGGTCTCTTTTCTTCGTGTGTTGAGGAAAAAAGAAAAAAAAGAGAGGTGAAACCACAAAAAAAAAAACGATGGGCACCGCCCGCGCCCACAGTTAGGCATCGAGCAAAGAACAGTGACAATCCAAAACTGAAGCCGCACCGACGAACGCGCGAGCCGCACGATCACACACTCGCCGCCACCCGAAAACACACCCACATGCACCCGCACGTGGTGTCCGCAGTGTGGGACGTCCCCCGCATAAATCAAACAACAAAACTAATTCATGGACACGTCGCTTACCGTCTACCCCGCCCAGCCCCTTCAAACCCCGCCAGCGCCAACAAGCAGTGCGCATGCCGGCAAGACCTCCCATCACGACCCCCACAAAATCCCCAACGCCCCCCACTTCCCTCAGCGCACTGCAGCAGGAGTGGGGGGTAATATTTAAAACAAAACACCAAATAAATAAAAACAATACAAAATAAACGGCGCACGCAGCACCACCACTACAAGACACACACAGAAGATGCCTTCACTCTGCGGCCACAAAAACAAACACTCTCGCAGTGGCACCGCCACCAACAACCCAAATGCAATCGCCCGCCTCCCAGCCACACCGCGGTGGTCATGGAAGTGAGGCACCTCAAAGAGGCTGAGTGAAAAACAAGAAACCGCTTCAACCACCACGCACGGCACGTACGTCTCCATACGACATCGCCAACCGGCACTGACGCACCTTCCGGCACCCAAAAAACAACGAGCTGTGTTATCCTCCTCTTTACGCTGAACAGCATTCAGGGCGCGACGGCGCTACACTCCCGCCACGTGTGTTGATTGGCCCACTCGCAGCGTGCTGGATGTAAATGATCTACCACTTCATCTTTTCCCTCAGCGCCTCCCAGCCCTTGAAGTTGCACGTCATGTACTTCAGAAACGCAGCCACCTTACCGGCAGTGGTGTGGTGGGTGTTTTGTTTTGTCACCTGCAGCCCGATGAACGTCACTTCCCTTTCCGCACCGCTGTGCCCACCGGCGCCAGCATTTCGCGACCGCCCAAATTTTATTTTTCTTGGCAGCTT